CACTTTGTTTTCTTTTTAATAGTAGATATATTTTCACCCACCATCCCTCTCTATAGTTGGTCGACGGGTGTACACGATATAAACTTTCTTTAATTTTAGTTCCATCATAAGATTTTTAGGAGTTTATCGATCCGTTGTGTGTATGGAAATCTTTATATTATATTTTTTTATAGTGCTAGAAAATGAAAGGTAGACTAGTACTATAGATTTGATAAATGCTCAATGTATCTTTTTGGATTGAATACTTCATAAGCGAGGCATCTATATTGAAAAACAACGGTTATCTCAAAACATTACTTTATTTTTAAATTTTCTAACAAACAAATTCTGAACAACTAAGTATATGCATAAATGTATAAAAAATGCATAGTTATCTAACTATCCCAAAAAAGTATATACTCGTATGTGTTCTCTACATTACATTCTCTACATTGAAAGTTGAATAGAAAAATTCATGTTTTATTTTAATTAGATTAGGCAAGTTTATATTTTCAGGAACTACATGTAGCTTACCTGACAAATTTAATAAATAGATTAACCATAATTTAATAGGTCTAACTCAAAATTTCAAGAAAATTAATAACCATTTAGGTATGTCATAACTTTTATCATTGAAGTGTAATATTAAATAAATATGGGAATTTCAAGTGCTTAAATTAGACTTAAAACTAGTTTTTAAAATTGAATAAAAATTTCGATATTTTAATTAAAAGAACCTTTTATACATTTTTATAAAATCTAAAATGCTTATATTTTTAAGCACGTAATAGATGAAGCACTTCCATGTCATAAAGATCAGACATATATTATTAGCTAAATGACCACATACAAGCAACAAACAATTTATAAAAAGCAACAACGAGCTCTATATTTATAATATTGAAAAAATGAACACGTTTGTAGAGTTAATTTGCAGTGAGATTTGCAACGTGTATCCTATATGATCTTAATAACTACTGTCAGTCATTAAGATCAAAGTTACTTTAAAAAATGTGTTTGTAATGAAATATATACAGACTCATTATTGTAAGATAGTCGAATTAATCATATTTAATGTTTTCGTCGATTTTTTTGTCTGTAGTCTTAGCAGTCTTAGATAATATTGAAACATTTTACATACTCATCTTTATGAGGAACATATTTCGTTACAAAATCTATCACGAAAGGAGCTTTAAGTGATAGAAAAAATCTATTTAAGTTCTCGAATATTAAATTAATACTTTCTTAGATTTCTTTTATTTATGATATAAATTATTTACTCGTACTAGGAAATAAGTGCAACTTATTGTGGGGTATTGACTTATATCGGTTTGCACTTATTTGCTGCACTCTACTTGTTTTTTCGACATATAAATTATAATTTATATATTATGATAATATTCACATTAGAAGAGTACAGTAAAGTGCAATTAAATTTAGTTAATGATAATCTAGTTTATAAAATGTAGAGTGGTAGTACTTTAATGTCGCAAAATATATCTCAATGTTTTTGAAATAAATACTATTTTATCATTTCATCATTAGTTTACGAGTTTTAAGCTTTATATTATTACTATTTGTAATCATAGAAGATATAGAAAATGGATTGAAGAATTCAATTCGAGGAAATATAAATATTTCAAACGACTGGTTTTATCATCAATATTTAAGCCTAAACGCAACAAGACAAGCCTCCATTCCATCTCTACATTAGATGAATCACACGCCGATGTCTCTACATAAAAATCCCTCGAAAGAATATATAAAAAGCCACATAAAACAACCGCACTCAAAAAAATAAACAGCCCTCACGCTAGGTATACTCAGGTGAAAACCGAGTGCTGCTAAGTACATAATTAATATGTAAGCGAGTCCCCCGTAATCAGGGCTTAGACAAAGCGGCGGCCATCTTGGCCCGCCCCCCACACGACCCCCCGCGACGCCCCCCGCACCTCCCGCGAGCCACCGCAAAGGCTGTATGCAACCATGATATGATTGCGCTCTGATTTGCTAGATTCGTTTATGTAGTTTTGGTAGAGTTTGAAGGGTTGGGTTTTTAACCGACTGGTAAAAAGGTATGTTTATTAAATACATATACACCATGTCACTTCGGATTTTTATTTAGAATATCTCGGAAAAGGCTTTACATCTTATTGATGATTTTCATTCACTAAACATTTCGATATTTCATTATTGTTTTGATAAAAAAATTAAGGATGTACGCGAAAGCTTACATTTTTTATGATAGAAATATATTGAGTTGGAAATAATTTATTTTTAAAACAATTATTTAGTAAATTAGTCTTATATATTAATTTATAATTCAATTAATATGAAAATTGTAGAGCCAATTTTAATTACGATAGAGATAATCTCTATAAATACCCCTCACTTATATAGCACGAATATTTAATGTCCGGAAAAAATATTGTTAAAAATAATACGAATGGAAAAGTAATAAGTGTAGTTAAATCCTTGAACCGGAAACCTAAACGTTTTCCTGTTTGCACTTCAGACAACAGACGCGGCCGCACGTCTCTACGGCACAAACAGAATGCTTATAAGCCCTTCGCGAATTCTTCCTACAACACTAACACAATCTTAGCAGTGCATGCTATGTCGTCTTTATTTCGAAGGTACAAGGTTCAAAGCTATATAAACCCAATTCTAAGTGGTGAGGCTGGTGCTGTGAAAAATGAACATCTCTTGTAGTCGAGATTAAAAATTACACGTTGCTTTGTCTGCGTGAAGTCTGACGCGAGTGTGTTTTTAACGAAGATCTCTTTTATAAAGTGATTTCGGGTTTTCACTGACTTACTGATGTTCTTTTGCTTGAACTATTTTTAAATTTTAAGATGGTATATTTTAAGTAGAGATATTTTTATTTTTCTCGTCTTGCCTATTTTGTCCTTCTTTTTATTTGTATACACATAATTCTTAAAAAAGTTAATAGTCGAAAATGTAAAGGCAATGAACTTTGTAAAGGTTTTATTAATTTCTTTTCCTTACCTTAGTACCCTACTAAATAATTGTGATATTTTTAGGTAATAAAGTAGAGAATGTGATATCTAATAAATTTGATGGTATTTATTTATCACATTTAAGGAAACTAACTTAAATAAAAGTAAAATTTATTATATTTAATGTATTGTTATGGAAAACAATATATAAAATTTATTGGTTTAGTTACAATATGAACGACAGCTACTACAGATATCTCGGTATCAGGTTGTCTCTTTCGTAGAAATATTTAATAAAGATATAACCTTTAATATGATACGATTATTACTTTCAAGTAACGGTACGTTTAGTCTCTATTATTTAAGATAGAGCCATCCTTCCACCGCATTGATTAAGGGGTAATTAGAGGTTAATTATCGAAAACAATGTGATCTGAGTGTTGATTTTGTTCAAGCTAATTAAGATATAGTCGAGTGTAGAAGTAGTAAGGACTCACCGGGCGGCGGCGGTCCGGGTCGGCGCTACGGGCGCCCCGCCGCTCTCCCGCTCGACTCTTGAACAAAATCATCACGTCAGACAGTTTTTACTACAACCCGGATAAGAATTTGGGAAAAAATCTCGAATAGATACAAAAAATCAATAAAATTCGTTCAGCTCTTGCGACGTGAGGTTGTTAGATAAGAGAGCTACACGTTCAAACTTAATGTAATAGAATATCTTATTGTAAATTAGTTTAATAGGGCTTAAGATTTAGGCTACATGGAGACAAGTAAAGCCGTTTAAAGTAATGAAACGACAGAAATCTCTCTTAAGATTTCTAGATTCATTTCCTAGAGATTTTAATTAGTACTTATTTTAAATGATTTTTTTATATTTGTTGCGATAACTAAAACTTAATTTAAAATAATAGACAGTTAAACTCTACATTTCTAATTTGATTATATCTACATAAAGCATGAGAAAGCATAAAAAGTTTAAGTTTATGGCCTAAGTATACATACTTTCTAAAAGCTTATACACTACTTATATTTAACTAGCGTATTAAATAGATTAAAGCGTAAGTAGAGTCTTTAAAAGAGACCTTTTTATGAAATGTTAAGTACATATATGCCTGTGCCTATGAGATATGTTACTATATGAAATTGCTGGGGTACAGTAAACAGAAAAATGATACTGATTAATAAATTCAATCATTGCTCCCTGAGAGTTACAAGAAATATCTGGCAAATAATGATTTAATTAATTTACTCATCAACAGTGTAATTCTTATTATTTAAATAATCATAAATTTAAGAAATTAATATTTAAATGAGTTTATTTTTAATTTAAATTAATTGAAAAACGTATGATTTAACGCAAGGTACTTTGAAATAATCTTTACTCTTTTTTTTGGAAGAAGAAAAAAACATTAACTGTGCTGTTTTTACTACACTGTTGTTTGCAGCACAAGAGTCATTTTATTGAGTAGTGTCTTACCATCGCTTCGCTTGAGTGTCCCCAGGTTTCTATAGGCGAAGAGATAGCGCCACCTTTCGGCAACCTTTATTACTAACAATAACCTATATGTTACTATAGGTATAGATAATTTAGTTTTTTCTTAATAGTAAATTTCATCCAAATCCGTTTAGCCGTTTTAGCATAAATAATTAACAGACATATTAACACATCTTTACATAGTATAAAATGAAGTAACTTCCACTGTCTGTTCGCTTAGATCTTTTAAACTACTCAACAGATTTTAATGCAGTTTTTAGCAATAGATTTGTTAAGAGTTTTGAAACAGTTAAATGATTCTAGAGGAAGGTTTATATGTATAATACATGCATATTATAGTACAGAAAAGCCGAGAAATTCAAAGATTTGTATTTCATATTAACCGTTAAAACGTATCTAGAGACCTTAGGAACCTAAGAACCCGGGCGAAGCGACGGTGAGTCGCTAGTTTCACATATAACATAATTATGATATAAGCCTGATAGTCGTATGAAGCAAATAGTATAAGCTATACTAAGAAAAATAGCGTGCAATAAGCCGATAATGGAAAGCTACTAATTGCTCACCTAGCAGCCAGGGTGCCACGTTGTCGTTCTCCTTCGCACTCTTCAGGATAGTCTCGGGGAGAGGCAGCGAGTGGCGTACCATGGCGCCGTAGAGACCGTACTCCGCCATGATGGTGGACCGTCCCCAACATTTCTCCGTTTTACGCCATTTAGCTCGACGGTTTTGGAACCAGACCTGTAATTAAACGGTGTTATTTTGCTTTCATAGTACTTTACACCTTATTAATCGACTTCCCAAAAAAAGAAGGGGGTTCTCAATTCGTCGGAATCTTTTTTTTTATGTATGTTCACCGATTACTCAAAGACGCCTGAACCGATTTGGAATTTTTTTTTGTTACAAAGGGTTATTATATCCCGCAGTAAAAAGTATCCTATATGTTGACCCGGATATCTAGCTATCATCGTACTAAATTTCATCAAAATCTGTCCAGTGGTTTTTTCGTGGTGTGGAGACAGACAAAAATAGAAAAAAACTATAGATTTGGCTTCTGTACTTGATAATAATGACTATTTTAATAAGATTTTCCAAAAAATATCTAATCTACAGATTCGGCTTAGTTATAATTTTATTATATGTATAGATTATACAAGTCAAATTGTTTTAAGTAATTTGTTTTTTAATGGATTAAGTTTAAGAAACACTTTCCAAAATTATTTTTCTGCTTTTAACATACATATGTAATACATTATCTTCAGTGAAATTATAAGCTTAGAAGCACAGTAATAGTATATTCCTTAAGATATCTGCATGAAACACCAACACACTACAGACAAAGTAAGTGAGAACGGTATAATAATAACAGAATGTAGAGAACAGATAATGACATATTTTAGTACAAACGTAGTGATTGGTCGTAATTGAAAGCGAGCTACTCGCCGCAGTAACTAAGCATATAAAACAAACCAATTATCGTACACAGCGGCTAGATTCAATTTTCAAATTTGGGATCGCATTCGTGCTTCCTTAGGGTTGTCAGAGTGAGCGATTATGTCGAAAACAGGCATAAAGGGCTGGTGTCTTCTAAGGTCTTTGGTTAAATAAATGGCAACACATTTTACACATGGTTTTCTTTGGTTTGGTTTTGATTTATCCTCACTTCGCTTAGAAGTTTTTCTAGCTGCCTAACAGCAACCTTTACTCAAAGTTGTCTATCTGTGCACAAAATTTCATTCAAATCCGTTCAGCCCTCCGATCATGAAAAAGTAACAAACGTACATTCTCACGTATACATTTTCGCTTTTGGAATAATTGTATGATATGAGTAAAGTTATTAAATACGAGTTAAAATTTCTGACAGCATCGATTAAAACAAAGAATTTATTACTTACTCATCTCGATAAGTATTCCAAAATATTGATACGAATAGAAGTAATTTATGTAACAATATTTTGCTATAATTCTTATTTTTTTAATTTATTTATAATTCGTGGTGAATTAATAGTAACATTTAAAACTTTATATAACTAAACAATTTATAAACGTCTACTTATTCACCGCCAGTGGCAGCCCTACTTCGACGCTCGTCTCTGCGAAACAGTTAATTTCTAATTAAATTTGTTAATTAAACTCGATCCGCGCTCGCAAATTAATACTCCGACCTATTATATTCTACTCTAAGTATATATGTACATACATATTGTATTATTTGTGCAGTAATACGATAAACGTGATTAGTTTGTAGTTTTATTTGTTCAATGAATTACGATTTTTTAGCTCGGCATGATTGTTATAGCATTTGAAGTTAAATTTTATTGCATGATATACATAATTATGTTGAGTTATTACTATCTCTCAATCGTTATAAATTATAAAATATAATCTGGGTAAGCAAAAGTGAAATTTCATTACAACGTACAATTCATATTATATATTTGAATTAGCATTGGCCGCGGCTCCGCCCGCGTTCAGATGACCAAAAACCAAATTCTTAGGTTTTACATATTAGTATACTCTTGCATTGCAATTTTTGTATTTTTCCTCAGAAATGAAACATTTTCGCGCGGTAAAAAGTATCCTATATGTTGACTCGGATAACCAGCTATCACCATACGAAATTTCTTCAAAATCCCTCCAGTAGTTTTTCCGTGATGCGGTAACAGACAGACAGACAGACAAAAATTCTAAAAACTATAGATTCGGCCTCTGTATCGATAATAATGTCTATTTTAATAAGATTTTCCAAAAAATATTTAATGTACAGGTTCGACTTAGTTACAATTTTGTTATATAGGGAGATTATAATGGGTTAAATAACTTACAGCTTTTAATTGAAATAAATATACTAATTAAAACGATATTGTAATAAACAAAGGTAATTAGCAAGAGCAGGCAATAGGGTTATAATAAAATAAATAATTACGAAGCCTGATTGAGCCAACAATGTGCGCCGAGGTGAAATTATTCGGAAAATGCAATCAATTGTCGGCACCGCTTCACCTCCATACAACGGCTCTACATGTTGGTGCTATCTACTGTGTTGTTCATAAGTACACCCAACTGAGGATACTCAGGTAATGTTATGAGGGATATTTTGATATGCCACTAGTTCCCTAAGCTTTTAAGCTCTGTAAATAGAAACTTTAAACTATATAATCAATAAATGATGAAATTGTCAATAATTATGTTATTGCAATTGATTGTTATTGAAATTCAGTAATTAAATATTATTTACTAAAAGATCTATTAATTTTAGATTTACATATAATATAATCTAATAACATCTAAATTACACGTATATCTGTTAATGTTATTAGATACATGTATTATTATTAATTAATTAATGATATTTCTTATTATAATAATCATTTTTTATCAATTAATTTAAATGATTATTTACATATAAACGTGCTCACATTTTTATTTTTATTAAGTGTACAACAATTACACTCGTACATAAACCTCGGTTTGTTTGCAAATGTATGTAACAATATCTGAATGTATTTGACCGAATGAAATAAAACTTTGCAATATTGATTCCGTCCAGCCTCCACCGAGTAAAGCGCGATAAATGAACATACAAATATACATTTAGAAACAATAATTTTGGTTTCTTTAAACGTCCTCAAGAAATAAATGATAGTAAAGCGAAGCGTAAAAAGTGACGCAAATTTTAAATAAAATAATATTTTCAGCTTATTTCGCATTTTATTTTGATTTTTGGTTTCCGACGTTTCGAATGCTTTACAGCAACCATGGTCACGGGAGAGACTCTCAAGCACATCCATATTTATTGTATGTGCATTTGAAACGTCAGGAACCAAAAATCAAAATAATTCCGCAAAATAATCCAAACAAGTAGTTTAATTTAAAATATTACATATTCGCGTAAATCTAATAAAGTATTAAGCGAAGCAAAGTAAAATATTTCAAACGTGTGCACTGTGCACTCTTGCCGGGTAGGTAATACCTAGGTAGTGGTATCTACAAGTAGTAAAGCCGGTGCCGGCGGGCGGCCCGATATTGATTGGGTTGCGCGAGCCTCTGACAGTCTAATTGTGGCGAAGATTAGACGACACCGGAATTACACACATATAATTATTTGTTCCACGCGCCGCCATCGGCCGATGGAAATCGGCTTTTCTAATTCAATATGTCATTTTATTTTGATTCGTGTTAACTTATGATGTTATTGTATACTAGCATTGCCCGCGACTCCGCCCGCGTTCATATGACCAAAAACCAAATTCTTAGGTTTTACATATTAGTATATATACTCTTACATTGCAGTTTTTGTATTTTTTCTCAAAAATGAGTAATATGAGAACTGATATGAGAAAATCCCTCCAGTGGTTTTTCTGTGATGCGGTAACAGACAGACAAAAATTCTAAAAACCATAGATTCGGCCTCTATATCGATAACAATGTTTATTTCAATAAGATTTCCCAAAAAATATCTAGTACCATGGCAAGCTACAGAACGAGGCTTGTGTTATGGATACTAGATAGTTGATACACTATACATACATACATACATATTATAAATATTTACTTCTTACCAACTTCATTATTAGAGTTGGTAAGAAGGTTATGTAAATTCTATATTTTTTTAAATTTCTTATGGTCTCTACATAAATTTACAATAATTATGTTAGAGTTCACGTTTGTTAGTTTTCAAACATGCATTTTTACTTAAGATTAGTGTTACTTTTCAAATCAAATCAAACACTAAAAAGTTACTAATAAATTTTATTGTCACTTAAACTATATTAAACTGAGTTTCTAAAAACATTTATATTCTATATCACTTTAGTTAACATTTTTAACGTCACACAATGTGAGACAAATTCTGCACAATTACATAGAATTCGGGCAATCGTGTGCTATCTGCTCGCATCCTGTACCACGTACGTGTATAATTGGCGCTGGTGTGTATAAACTCGGCACGGCGCTGTGAATTTCCTAATTAACATAGAGGCAGAAAGGTTCGTGTAATTGTTAATTTGGCAGCACATTCGGGCCCGTTAATGATGCGTAACGCCGTGCGAGGGAATTACTCCGACCCAACAATTTATTACTTGTATGTGACAAAGACCAGCCCACGATGAGCCCCGACAACACACAAACGTTGAATATGTAGAGATCATTGCTACTGGACGTATTATTTAAAGGGTCGAATGTATCGCTTGCAAAACAATTTGTTTGGAGCCCATGTGATGTTAGATTTGAAGTTGGAAAGCGAGTAACGGCTGGTAATTTTGAAGCAAACCAAACAAGCTACCTAAATGCTTCTAACTTTGTAATGACGTTAGTTTTTAGTAGTAATAGTATGTATACTATTGGGCCGAACTGTAGGACTGTTATTCTTACATGAAAATTTTAACCAATTTCTTTAAACTTTTATATTACTATAGTTAAATACTGTATTTCTAAGAAATATTATGAAAATTTTATTGCTTAGCTAGCGACTCACCCTCGCTCTGCTTGGGTTCGTCTCTACGTTTTAAGTGTAGTATAGATTTCTCAGAGATGAGATATTTTATCGCAGTAAAAAGTATCCTATATGTTGATTTGAATAATTAACTATCATCATACCAAATTTCATCAAAAGCTGTCCAGTGGTTTTATTGTGGAGCGTTTCCAGATAGACAGACAGAAGACTGAAATTCTAAAAACTCTATAGATTCGGCCTCTGTATGAATAAGACTGACTACATATACAATAAGATTTTCTAAAAA